TTGGTGAGTGATAAACTTCTACATCGGTCAACCGATCGTGATGAAACTTGACATGTATAAGTAATTTTTTATAGAGAAGGTTTTTAGGCCATCAATTTTTCTGTAACTCGCCACTAGATGGCGCTGTAGAACAATTTTTTGAAAGCACTGTTCCATAACGCTGCGCACGCCTAAGTTCGTTCATTCTGATTTTGTCAAAACATTGGAACAGCAGCGATACAGCAACATAGTACTAGTCATATATATAAAAATGGATGTTTGTTGGTTGGTTGATTGGTTGGTTGGTAAGTGATAAACTTCTACATCGCTCAACCGATCGTGATGAAACTTGACATGTATAAGTAATTTTTCATAGAGAATACACGTGTTTCTGGCTATTGGCCTCATCAGCGCGGTGCAGCCAATTGCAAAGATGTACAACAACTGGTTACCAAAAATGAAAAACTTCACATATGCACGGTGTCACCAACAGGAGCTAACCGCACATTTGTGGTTTCAATTAGAAGACCTAGCATTCCGCGGTATGCCTCCATTTTTTGAGTGTTCTGTCCACAAATTTTCCCTTTTTTTATATCATACACACTCAATAACATCTTTATCTCAGACAGAATGGAAGTATACTCTTATAAATTCTCCTATCGCACCCCCAGAGCATGACACCATTTTTTTAATGGTTCAATTATTTTGCATTTTTATCTGAAATCTGTTCCATGATGAACATATTTCAACAAAGTAGAATACATTTTGGTCTGAAGCTCATAGTTTGGAAGCTAAAGATTATTTGAGTTGAGAACGAGCCACCCTGAATGAACTTCTGTACAATCTGTTACCTAGGTTACATAGGTGTTTTTGTGAAGTATCTATACTTCAAAAAGTCATATATTACCTAGTTAAGTTTGAATTCGACATTCTCTTCATTTTGTATTTATCTCATCCTACAATAACGATTACCTGCCATGTGAAGTAACCATTGCTGCTTTTGCTTTTGTGAATTCTTGAGAAGCAATGATTTATACGTTTCGTTATGAGTTTGTACTACCAGAATAGAAATGGTGCTAGAGCTACTGCCAGTATGTTCAATGATAATCATCCAGGAAGAAATGTACGTCACAAATACGTTTTAGAATTATCAAATAAATTTATGGAAACTGGATCTGGTATCAATAAAAAGTATAAACATTCAGGAGTTGCCAACGATGAAGTTATTTGTACTACAGTTTTAGGGCACGTTGGACTAATGGAAAATTCGCAATCTCTTGCTAAGTTATCTCGATAATAAGGAGTCAGTCATACAAATGTTTTCAGGATCATTCATAAATATAAATTTCATCCATATACTATTGGACTAGTTCATGAATTCAACGAAGATGATTTCGAAAGACGTATCGAGTTTTGTGAAAGTCTCACTTAACGGATCAACTTGCACCAGAATTACTTGTATAAAATTTGTTCTGCGGATGAATGTACATTGAATTTGAATGGAGACGGGAATCGGCAAAATTGTCGATATTAGAGTACTACGAAATTTTCATTTATACCGTCAAGTTCATACCCAACGACCTCAAAAACTGAATGTTGGGGGAGGAATTTCAGGTGACCACATCATATGACCTTTTTAATCGATGATAATTTGACTGTGAATAATATTTGGATATGTTGGAGAATCGAATAATATCTTGCATCAATAGGGCAATTGAGGGGGATATAAATTTATTCGAAAACGAAATAGTTTTTCAGCAGGTTGGTGCACCTCCTCATTTTGCAGCTCCAGTCCAACAATTTTTGGATGATCATTGTCCTGATCGCTGTATTGGCAGAAGAGGTCATACAAAATGGACACCAAGGTCTCCGGGTCTCACTCCCGTAGATTTCCTTATACGGTGTTATTTGATTGTATTCCATGTGAGATTCTCAATAATGTGAGGGCGGCAATGGAAGCTCGTTTGTACCATTGTATAGAAGATGGTGGAAACGTTTCTGAACATTTACTATAGAAAATTATTTTCTTCTCATTGCCAGTCATCATATTTTGATAAAAAAAATCAATAAAAAATCTCTCTTTCTGATTAATTGCTTCCATATTTTTCTCTAGAACGAATATTTCAAAATATGGCCTCCTGCATGTTCGTTTTTTTTATTTTTTCTGCAAATCATCATTTCAAAAATTATTCAGGGTGGCTCGTTTTCAACTCAAATAATTTGTAGCTCCCGATCTATGAGCTGCAGACCATGAGATAATGCGAAACAATATAGGGTTATCCATTAAAAAAAAATGGTCACATGCTCTGGGGGTGCGATAGGGAAAGTAACATAAAATGTGAGTATGTCAATATGTTTCCCCCTGTATACTATTGTTGACGTGTTTTTTTCATTTTTTCTGTTCGTAAGGGGAGACAGATTCTGCGTACGCCGCTCAAGAATTTGGTGTAAGGCGGCTTCATAAGGTACCCCGCTCTTGAGAAGACGACTCGGTCGTTTCCGTACCACCAAAGCTTTTTTTCCAGGTTCAGTCAGTCATTTTAAGGAGTTAGAGAGTTGAGAAGCTCTCTCCTGATCTGAATTCACAGGGAGGTCAGTTGTCACACTAATGTAACATCTGAATGATAGTTCAAATTATATAGAGTAGAGAAAATTGTGGGGTGAATTATCATGATGAATTTCATGTGTAACAGATTTATCAAACTACTGATGATGTATTTAGATATCTGAAAGGTTCAATCAATGATATAAATACTAGGGGGGGAAATCTGATCATCTTTTCATGAGTATCCATACAAATTAAATGAGAGTAAATTTCATTTGAGTGATTCAAATCGGTTTTTCAATTTGAGAAATTACTCAAATACGCTATATGTACGATTTCTAAGAAAATCATCTTGGTAGTGTTTTTTCTTTAGATAAAATTTTCATTCAGTTATTATCCATGCAGTGTCCTTCCTTAGAGACATGTTCAGTTAATGCACACCTGTCCAGGTGCAATCTACTGTCACTCTGTGACACAGATTGCTGTGATTCGATCCATGAGCAATATGTTTGTTTGTCCTGAAGGATCGACTCACAGCACACAAGAGTGTTAGTCGGTTGCACCTGGAGAAGTTTGCTTTGAGTGAACATTTCTCTAAGGAAGGACACCGTATTGGAAGGGCAGTGTATTGTATTCCGAACATACGTTTAGAATACAAACGGAATAGAGAAAAGTGTTTTTCGTATAATCCAGCGTTCATATACAAGTTTTACTACTGAAGTAGTTTTCTTTCGTGTGAATCAATGTTCATATGAAAATCACTGTTGCGAGAGGGCTTTTTCTTCCGGTTGGTGTCTGAAAGTTACTTCTTTGTATGGAGTTAATTTTTGAAATTGATTGCTCCCTTCCTTTCCTTGAAAGATTTTCACATTTTTTCTATCAAGTTGGAGGAGTGAAGAACCAAAACCCTTCTTTCCCAAATATTATTTTCTCCTGAACATATCCCCTTTCAGTTTTATTGTGATTCTGAATCGTCTGAATCGGTAAAATGTAATATTCGACAGAATATAATAATAATAGTCTATTTCTTTACATAATTGTATATTTTTTGTCTTTGTCTACTGCGAATAAGTATGTGTTTATATAAATCACGGGATGTTTCAACACTCTTTGTAAATTGACGTACTACTCATGTATATTGTGCATATCGTAGTCAATAAAGCATTTCTTTCTTTCTTTCTTTCTATCAGCACAGTAATAAATCATTCAAAAAAATTAAAGGTTCCAATCATCAGCCAATGGGGATAGCATTGTAAAAGATGGCTAGATTATACGATAATGATGATTTGAACATCGAGGTTTTATGTATCGGGATTTAAATATTAGTTTTATAACGAACATTGATATTGTGCTGATCATGTCTCAATTTCACCTCATTATGCAAATATGAAAGTTTCTTCATTGTAAGGATTTTATGATGAAGGCTGCAGCAATGTAGAGTCCTGCGTTTATCCATTGGTAGCCAACCAAGTTTCGGAAGATGAGTTGACACATGTTCCCATTTTCTTAACCCACATATCAAACGCACATACGAGTTTTGAATTAATTGGATACGTCGACTGTCAGAATTAAGGATAGAAGGACCATAAATACAGTCAGCAAAATTTAATTTTGAAAAGACTAGTGACTCGCATAAGGTGATTTTGTTTTTTTTTGCTTGATCTATTTCTATTGGTATAAAGCATCTTCAAACTGCAAAAGGCATTTCTCATACGTTCAGAGATGTATATGTCAAATCTCATATGTGTGTCTGAAATTACTCCAATATAATTGGGTGTTATCAGCGGAATCACTTTCAGAATATGAAACTGTTACGTATAGACCGTGAAAAGTAGCGGTCCTAGTATAGATCCTTGTGGGACCCCTGTATCGATTGGAGTTGGTAATGAAGTCTCATTATCTATCATTACAACTTGAAACCGATATGACAGGTAATTTGCTATGAGGCTTATGGAGTTGTTAGCGAATTCAATATAATGAAGTGAAAAAATTGTTGTTGTTGTTGTTATCAATTGAATGAAAAATATCATATGTCGCTCTCAGCATCGCGGTTGTGCAACTATGTGCTTGCCGAAAACTTGATTGATGTTCCGGGAGAATGTTAAAATCAGTGATATGTACAAGTAATTGTTCATTTAGGATTTTTTTCAAGCACTTTGATAAAGTAGGCAAAATATTAATGGATCTCAAATCATTAAAATCTTCATGATTGGCGATTTCAGCTAAAGGCCTGACTACAGCACGTTTCCATACTTATTCACTGGAAAAATTATTATAACTCCAGAAAAATAAATACTCATTCATGACTACCAAGATATCCTTGTCTCTAGTTAACGACATCGACACCAGGAAACGTATCCCTCATTTTAGACTCTCTGTAGTGCATCTGACTTCTGTAAACACACAAATATGCCTCTTGTAAATGATCCTAACAATATGCAAATAACATCGACTAAATTCCTCTCTTTATTTCCAGGTGTTCACTTTGATACATCGAGCTCAAGCCTGGTGAACGAAATCACCACCGCCATCAAAGTGTACGCGTACGGCGTAGAAGACTTCACCAACGATCCGACGAATTCCAGACGCTCCCTAAACACGCAACTCTCCTGCGAGGGAGCAGGAGCAGCGCGATGGGACACAGGCGACCGCTTCTTCCGCTATCTCAGGAATGTCAGCGTCGAAGCGGATCAGGGTCGACCCAACCTGGAATTCACTCCAGACGGTGTGCTGCGCGCCGCAGAACTGAAAATCATGAATCTCAGGCCAGGGCTCAGCAAACAGCTCGTTTGGGAAGAGGTGAGAGTTTGGAGTGTAGTCGCAACTATTGGTAGTCTCAAATCCGGAGATTTCACGTGCAGATATTCGTTAATAAAATAAAAATTGATTAGAATAGAAGTGTAATTCGTCCCTGTTGGTTTCTTGATACTTCTCAAGTTGGAAATAGTGAAAAATAGAGGTAATGGTCTAAAAAATACGTGCGTTTTTGACAACATGAAAAATTGCAAAAGTTATGAACAAATTTAGATGTAGGTTTTCGCGAATATTTCAAAAACTATAAAGAATTGAGGAACTCGAAAAAAAATTCAGAATGGGAAAAATTCACGAAAAACAATCCTGCTTTTTGAACTCCTATCTTTATTATTCATAATTTTGATTTAACGCTAAAAATAGGCTTTCGCGGATGGATTTGGAGTTGTGGAGGCGACATCTAGAGCGAGTACGTTGCGAAAAATAATTTTTTCAACAATTCGGTATCTATTTAAAAATCTATGAAAATCAGGGTGATTTCTCAATACTTTGAAAAATTGATTTTCGGTGGGAGTAAAATCAAAGTCAATTATTATTGTCATATGACGAACTTGCGTCACACTCCACAGTCGATTTTCTGGAAGAAGCACCACCCACTATTCCCATACTGAACTCCGCAATGCCGGAAATTACTTTTCGACAACGTCTAGTCAGGCGAATTTCGAAACAACTCAATATCAACAAGGCACCTGGTCTTGATGAAGTGCTTGTCACCGTACTTAAAAATTGCGCAAATGAACTCGCACCAGTATTTTGCAGACTTTTCAACCTGTCTTACAAGAAAGGGGTGTTTACTTCTTGTTTGAAGATTGCTCGCGTTCAGTCTATTCCTCAAAACGGCAAAAAAATCTTCCAAATAACTATAGATCAGTCGCTTTGCTATAAGTGATATCAAAATTCATGGAGGAAGCCGTAAACTACCATATTCTTGAATATATGGAAGGCCTCAACATCTTGGACGATCAACAATATGGCTTTCGGAAACAAAGATCAACAGGCGACCTTCTATCGTATGTCACCCTTATTTGGAATAACGCAATCGAGAAACATAGAGCGTCAAAAGCCGTTGCGCTTGATATTTCTCAGGCCTTTGGCCGTGTGTGGCATGAGGATTGAGGATGAGGTGTGTGGCATGAGGATGCTATTGCGTGTAAGATCATTTTTGTCTATGACTCTCCATATTCCTGAAAGAACGTTTCCTGCAAGTGTTCGTCGATGGATATCTATTGAATATTTTCACCATCAACGCTGATGTTCCTTAGGGATCCATATTGTCTCCAACCTTTTTTTTATTGTATATCAACTACTTATTGAAAAAAAAACAAAAATCCAATATATTTCGTTGCTGACGACAGCACACTTGTCTCGTCATTTCATTTGGATTCCAGGACATCGGCTATGGATGCACATCTTCAAAGGCAGTAGAACGTTGCATATCTTGATGAGAATCTAGGAGTGATTTTTTTTTGTACCTTGGGAGCTGTCTGACTTGTCCATTTAGTTCAAGTCTCCAGAAAACACTGCAGCCTCTTGGGCTTGTTGCGTTTATTCTTTCACCTTCTCATGACACCCATTCCATGAGTTTCGTTCCCTGTACTAGTTTGTACGGGTTCCGTATTGGATGTTCGTCATATATTTATGGATGTAATTTCGTACGTCCATATATTGCCTACCTTCTCTGATTCAGTCCCTAACATTCGCATTTTATTCAGGTGTCCTCCAAGCGGACAATGACCGTTTAGTAACCCTGTAATTATTCTGAGCCAATCCCTACTATATTGAAGTAGTTATTCGGTTCTTTTCTCGGACGGTTCCCTAATGAAGGTTCTACTGTGTTTGTTGCCACGTAGTGCTTCTTATTGGTCCATGTCCTAATCTGGTTTCGTACCAATGATTTTGGTACCCCTAGAGCTGGTTCAGGACATATATATGAAGTTGATGATCCGCGTCTAGCGCATTCATCAGCTTTATCATTATCTGTGATTCCTGAATGCCCTGGCACCCTGTACAAAGTTAATTTGTTTCTGTTTTCAAATTCATTCAGTTCTTCATGGCATTACCAGACCAGTTTTGATGTCACCTTCGGGTTTGCCAGAGCCCCTAGTGCGCTCTTGCTGTCTGTTAAAATATTGATCCGCTCATTTCTTCTTTGAGGTCTCAATTCGATAAGCCTTGCACACTGCAAGATAGCATGAACTTCCGCCTGAACGACGGATGTGTATAGTCCTAGCGGATAACTGTAATTTAAATTTCTATCCGCTCGGTATATTCCAGCTCCCGTTCCATGTTTGGTCTTCGATCCATCTGTATACCAGGTATTTTTTCCAAACAGGTTTTCGGAATGACTAATGGTCTTTCACTCTTCACGGCTAATGATTTGGGATGTGAAGTTTGTGTTAAAGGTGTACTTCGGTATTATGTGGTCCGTGCTCCTCCACTTGTTTCGAAATTTCTGTTCGGTCCGATCTTTTGTAGTTCGGTGAGTTTTCCAGTCTGAATTGGCCCATCCTGGCCTCCCCCATTATCACAAAGTGTAAAGGAGGTAGCACTGCCTCCAATGCAGCTGTTGGTGTAGTTCTCATTGCTCCCGTCATTCCCAAACATTCAAGTCTTTGCACTTTGCCTAGTTTGTTGATGGCGGTTGCCTGCTTTATCTTTGGCAACCAGACTAGAGTGATTTGAATTGGGATGAGGGTAATCAGGTTCAACTCAATGCCACAGAAACCCAGGCATTGGTATCCTTCCAAAAGATAAATGATTCCCAACCGGATGTAATAATGTCAGGACAGACAATTCCGCTTTCTGCTTCGATAGTTTGTTGGGGGTTAAAATGGTCCAGAACCAGAACCAAAAAACTGTATACACCTCAGCAAATTCTGATGCTTTATAAACCTCAGATCAGACCTTCTTGGTCCGATCTTGGTTATATGTGAATTCAATTTATGTTATATATGTGCAATAAGAAAGGATTTTCTAATATTTCAACTGATTTCAACTAATATTTCACCCGTGCGGGTACAAGGGGCGCGATTACATATGAAAATTACTTTTCATCACTGTTTCTCAGTGCCGCTATATTTTTGGAGGCTGATATTTTGTATGTTGGTTCTTTTTATGTTGAAAATGTGCGCACGGGTGGCGTCCCAACTGGGGCGGGCACAAGAAGCGCGTTTACAAATGAAAATGACCTTTTCATCACTGTTTCTCCGTATCACAATATTTTCGGAGGCTGAAAATTTTGTATATAGGTTCTTTTTATATTGTGGATGTGCAGTAGTAAAGGATTTTTGAATATTTCAACAGTGTCGCCAATCGCGTGAAAAAGGGGGCTTTCATAAAATGAAGTCACCTTTTCATCACTATTTATCCATACAGGTATATTTCGGAGGCTGAAATTTTATATGTATAGTCCGTTCATAATTTGTCGATAGCACAAAATGAGGGCCCAAGTCATAAAACGGTCGTAAAACTCGTAAAATCATAGGCGGAGGTTCCTGAGGTGTTTATTCATTAAATATAAAGCTTCAGTTTATATTCGAAACTTGCCTTGGAAGGGTGAAGTTGTTACGAACGAAAATAATTTTTGGTTTAGTACATTTTTTAATCGCATTTAATTTACGGCTCGTTGGTGTTTCGGCGTCTACGGCAGTCATTAACGTCTCTAATATTTATTTTGCGAATTTTGTGCAGTGCGTGAGTAACTTTTTTTCATATTCCTACAAACATATACGTACCTTTCGTTCCTGCTTGTTTTGTTTGATTGCTTGCGATGGCTTCATCATCTTCATCAACATCATCAAGTTTTACACCGGTACTGTTGCGTACAGTCAGTAAGTCTGTCTATTCACCAAGAGAGAAGACTATTGTTTTGAACGTTCACGATGCTCTGGTTTCTCAGAATCCCACAAACACTGTTCAGAACATAATCAAGAGTTGTGCCAACATGACGGGCGTAGGGGAGTCAACAATATATAGGTTCCTATCAGAAAGAAAAAAAAAAGGTATAGCTAACCCAAATACAACCGAATACTTAATTGAAATTGATGAAATTGATGAATTTGCCAAAAATGGTATTCGAAGGAAAATTCACGAATTTTTTTACAAAAAAGAATTACCTAACTTAAACAAAATTTTACAAGAAGTTAGAGACGACCCGGATTTGCCTCATGTCGGACGAACCAAATTGTGGCAAGTTTTAAAAGAATTAAATTTCCGGTGGGAGAAATCAGACCAAAAATCACTTTTGATTGACCGGGAAGAGATAATATGTTGGAGAAGAAAGTATCTAAGATCTATACGAAAATTTCGGGCTGAAGGAAGGCCAATTTACTATCAGGAAGAAACGTGGGTGAACGCAGGTCATACTCTCACAAAAATTTGGACAGATAAAAATATATCAAGCTCCAGGCAAGCCTTTATGGAAGGTTGGTCTACTGGTATTTCCCCACCCTCTGGTAAAGGCAGTAGATTAATAGTTTCTCACATTGGCAGTGAAAAAGGATTTGCTAAGCATGGTTTGTTGGAATTTGAATCCAAAAGCACAAAATACTATCACGAGGAGATGACAGCTGATGTTTTCAAAGAGTATTTTGAGCAGATGATTGAACATATACCACCAAACTCAATTATAGTATTAGATAATGCACCTTATCATTCACGACTAGTTGAAAGACTTCCAACGACTGCGTGGAAGAAACAGGATATCATTGACTGGCTGCGGAATAAGTCCCTGCCTTATGAAGATGGAATGGTTAAAGCAGAACTTTTAAAAATTTCCCGGCAACACAAATCTAAGTTCAAGAAATACGTAGTTGACAAAATGGCGGAAAGACGAAACATCACAGTCCTTAGACTTCCACCCTACCACTGCGTGGTAGGGTGGAATGAAAATCTATGTGGCTAGAAAAAATACGTCATATAAAATACAAGTTGTACGTGAATTGTTATATGAGTCTTTACAACATATTACAGAACAAAATTGGCGAGAT